AGTGTCATTATTCTCTCTTCAACTTGGTTACATTTGCTTTACTTTTATCAGAAAATCTGGCCTGATACTGATATCTGCGCAGTGTAGTAGATTCAAGGAGTTAGTAAGTCCAAACGCTAGACTTATATTATTGAGTTTTCATGAAATCATGGAGGTATATTTCAGCCTATTCACTGAAACGCACTGACGCCCACCTGATAAAGCAGGTGGCGCCACTTCGAAAGAAGGAAATGTCATACAATAGCCCAGCTAATACTATGCTGATCGCAAAAAGTCGATAGAACTAAAATGAATTTGTAGATCACGTATTGTTTATTTCTTGCTCAGTGACGAACTGATAATAAGTATGAAATGAGAATTCCAAAATATGAAAGTTAGAGAATTATATTATGAGACGCAAATGCCCTTACATTAACTGTTATTCATAAATGAAATCGTAACCAAGTATTACACCCACAAATGAAGTAGGATTTGAGTAACATTTCAAGCTAAAATAACATTCGCCATATATTGTCCTTTACATTCAAACATATAAAGGTTATCGAATGTGTTCCTTTTATCCCTAAAGCATATTTTCCTGCCTGTATGACTGTTTGTGTGCAAAAAGTGCTTCCACATTTAGTTTGAAGTGCGGTACACATATCATAAACATTGTTACTTTGCGTTTCTTCTTCGATTCGTCCTACTTCGCATTATTTGTACTATTATTATTACTAACAGATCTTTCGGCTGCGCAAACTTAATATATTCTCATTTCATAGAATGCTATCGATGACAATCATTTTCTACATGTCATTTCCACATGTCTGTTTGTATATCTCTCAACAAATTTATGATATCTGAAATCCTATCGTTTGTTGACTGTTTTGAAGCGCTGTCTATCATTTCCGCTGGTGATACGAGATAGTAAAAGCACACCACGTCAATAGCCAGTCTCCTTTTCTTGTCTTTCTGCGCCACTTTTTCTGTGGTTTCTTATCGTGTTGTTGTTGTCGTTGTTGCTGTTGCCAATAATAGTGATTAGAACAACAGGCTCATGAATCGAAAAGGTGGGAAAATAGTTAGCGTAACTACCAAGTGTATTGACGGTCACATCACTTCCATAATAACCTATGAGCTTTCATTTCCTTCATGTCACTCTCGGACAACCAAATCATTGCCTTCAACTCGCAAGAGCCTGTCACCTCATATCACCCTATGGTCTCATCAACATTTGTCCAACCCATCTCCATTTCTTTCTTCATATTTACCGGGCGATAAGTTGTTGGTTAGTTCTTTGCTTAAGTTCCTTTCTGTTTACACTTGCTGGCAAATCAGCTGATCTTCGATATCAAGTGAACTCAGCTGTTGATGATGGTGGTAACACTATTGTTTAGATATAAACATTGTTACACCTGAGTGTTATCCAAGTAATGTGATGCACTCATAACTGAGTAATGACCTAATAGAGGGTTTTGGACGTCATAACTGCTTACATAAACATTGTGCTCGTAGTATAAAATAAAACATAAAGTGATGGGGTCGAAGAGAAACTAACAACTCATTTATTTCCTACTGCATCATACAAGGCATTAAATAACTCGAGTATTATCTGTCTTCGGTATTTGGTCCTACTTCATCGACCTCCTGAACCTTGGTAAGACTACTAGATCTGTATTTTTCTGGCCGATCCTAACCACGAGAAAAGAGGGGAACCGGTTGTAATTTTTGGCGACCCTTCACCGCAAAATCAGTGAAACTGCTACAGACAATTCAATGCACGAGAAAAATATTTTTAAAAATCTAAAACAAACCTATTTTAGCTGGAATCGGAGGGGCGAAATGACGCTGTCTGATGAAATCCAGCCTCCGGAACGCCAGTAAGCTGATGTGTCTTCTTTGAATGATGACGAAAATAAGCATAAGGAAGTGAATTGTTCATGTGGTTCACGAAGCCTGCTGGGAAGGCTGCTTAGGTCACCATAGAAATGAGAAGATGTGGCACATAAAATTCATGAGCCTGAGAGAGCAGGTGGAAGGGAAATCGCCAGCTGGTTAGTCAACAATCTACCCCGGTCACGCAGACGACAACCACGATCACACTGAGACGGTGAGTGGCTATCGTGATGTATAAGTAAACGTGTACATCTCTTTTGGAGAAACAACAAGCAAGACAAGGAGTGGTTCTCTAGGAACATCTGTAAACTAGTAGAAAAGAGGAGGCTGGTGAAACAGAAGGCGGACCAATGAAGTGATGGACAACGAATAAAAGAAGCTTAATTCAGTGAACACTACACTGAATAAAAAAGTGAGGAATAGTGCTACGAAAGGCATAAGAAAATTCTAGGATATACTAGCTGGTAACTAAAGCAGAACACGCTAGCCGCAGGTACAACAGATCTCGGAATATTGTATCAGATAACCAGGTCTCTATAAGTATAAAACTTGGGCACTGTGGTAGAGTGAAACTCCATTATGGATAAGATTTTATTTTCATAAATCATACAGTGTTATACAGTAATATCAATATATTAATATACAGTAATAATAACCAGGTCTCTATCCGGGAAGAGACCAACCTAGATGATGAAACCTATAAAAGATGTTCAAGAGAGCTAATTACTAAAGAGGAGAGACAATGGACAAAACGTGCTAATCATTGCAAAGAATTCTTGAATTGAACATCACCTGCGACTCGCCAACAACAACACGCAGTGAACACCAATCTACAACAAAAGCAGAAGTCATGCATGCAAACAAGCTACTGAAGCCGGGGATGGCAGAAGGACCAGACAGTATTTTTCCCGAAACAGTGAAACAGATCTAGGAATCAGAGCAAATGTACTAACGCCATAAAAGCAGAACGTTTGGAAGGAAGGAAACGTACCTAAGTACCGGCTGGAAGAAAGGCTACCTTGTGAAACAAATAAATAAGGGTGAATTAGGCCTCTGCAAGAACTTATGTGGAATCATGCTCCTGCCGACGACAAATAAAGTACTAAGTCACATCATCCTGGAGAGAATAGAATGTGCACTGGACGCAGAACTCCACTCAGAATAAGCTGAATTGAGAAAGGGCGAATCATGCGCTGACTAAACTGCAACTCTATGCATCATCATAGAAGAAAGCATAGAATAACAGTCAAATCTCTACATCAATTTCATCGGCTTCGAAAAGGTGTTGACAGCGTTGATCGAGAAGTAATTTGAAAACCACGTCAAATCTTTATCAGCTTCATTCAACACCTGGCTATATAACAATGTTAAGTGTTAAGTGATCCATAACGGAAAATTCAGTGAGGCGTTCGAAGTGGAGACAGGAGTTATAAAAGGCTGCCTACTCTCATCGATGATATTCGTGACTGTGGTGAACTAAATTTTTCGTCAGACCTTTAGGAGCTAGAAGACAGCAATACGCTGGATGGATAATAAAGCCCTAGAACGACGTATGTTTAATGTCACACAATTTGAAGACTTACAGGTGAATACCAACAAAGTGGTAGAAGAGTGTGGCAGCGATTACAGGAGTGCAGGTGAACGTAGAGAAAACAGAGGCAATGAAAATTACCAACCAAAACCAACCACTATCAGTGGAATAAGTTTGAAATCAGGATCAAAAAGTCAGGACAGACCTTCATCACTCTGAAATCAGTTTGCAAATCTTTCACACTGAGGATAAACAACGAAATTCGGAATTTAGTCAATGATAGGTCAGAAGAGTGGGGCGTTGGGAGATGACGTGGTGAGAGATGGAGATCAGAGAATAAGGACAATTGTCGAGCCAGCTAAGGCGGTTCTTAGGGAATAGGGCAAAGTTTAGGTGTGCTTCGAAATCCCTATTTTCCACTCGGAACCCAAGGAAACAATAATAATACATTGTAGAAGGGCCTTAACGTGTTACATCAAGTCAAATTTGTAGGTTTAATAGCTGCTCAAATGAGACTTGTTTTATTATGTCTTCATTTTCGGTATGAGTGACACTACGATGAATACTGAGGTTTGATGATACGGATACTGGACTCCATTCTCCATAGGAATATCATCGCTGCCACAGATGCAAACCTATGTAGTCGGGTAACCTGAAATAAGATGAATCGTCCACTCAACAATCCAGTGTTAACTACAACCCATTTCCTTTTATTCACTTTTAAAAATAACTGAATCTCCCTTTTTCATGTGTCATTCAGAATCAGTCTCATTTAATCAACTAGACTGAAATAGGCTTTCGCTTGGCTGTGACGGCAGTTAATTAAATGAGTCAGAATTTTCTTGGATTTGTATTATCTTCATGTACATAGAAGACATAATTCATTGTCAGAGTAAAGATATGTATTCTCCAGGGTGTGATTGTTTTCAGATGATTCCCTTCTTCGAAAAATCATTGCAGAGTGGTCTATGTGATTTCATCACCAATTTATTATTGACTAGCATAAGCAAGACTATTTCTCAGTTCCTTCTTTAATTCAATGGGTGTTTGCATGAATGAACTAGCAACTTTGATCAGTGTCCTCAAATCATCGTTATTAGAACCGCAGATATCCTTAACCACTTATCTTCCATTACCTGAATATTTCATGTCAAATCATCCTATTACTATCTATATAATTTTAAAAACTTCGAATTACCAAACCTTATTAACCTTACGTAGCCCACGATGTTTATTTTATGATATATTTGCACGCTTGTTTAATGCCCAACATGAGTAATCCAATATAAAATATGCGTTTCACATTTTTCCATATACCGACAAGCCCAATTACATCTGCAGTTCTTTCTTCACATAATGTATCCAATTACGCAACATCAATAGTTCCCACATTTGAAATGTTCCCACCTTTAACCTGTGTAATCACAGTATGTTGTAACAGTTTTGGATTACATGAAGCCGGAAAGAACCAGCGAATTATAATAATATCATGTTATCCGGATACGTCTAATATCATCACTTGCTAATATGTAAATTTGTTTAAATGTGCAATGAATACCGTTTATTCACACAACAACTTAGCGAATGCCTTTCATATACATTAAATAATGTTGATACATACGATTCAGAAATATATATTTCGAATGATATTCACTCTTATAACAGCGAAATAAAACAACAACAGCAATGTCATCATCACAAGCAGAAAGATGTTCCATTCACAAAAACATTATTATTTCCTACCAATAAAACGTTATTCGTGAGGTATTCTGTCCATCCTACTGCGAGGCGAATGTGAGCACAAAACATATAGTGATATATAATAAGATCACTCCGAACCAAGTGATTAGAGCCAACCAAACTGGATAAATACCACTCGACTGACTTGGATCGCATTCTTTCAAAAATTTCCCGACTAGAAACAGCACCTGTTACACACACAAAACCAAAAGGAGAAACAAGGCAATGTCAATTCGCGTGATAGTCGGAGTCAAAAACACATAAGACCATATGAGAGTAATATTTGTCGCAAGCGGGAGTGAAATCTGCAAAAGAGAGGGAGATATATGTAAGGGGTTCTATGTTCAACGCGTCAGTTATTGAGTTCCGATAAGGACGAAACATAATACTCAGATTTACAACCTGATATTAGGAATTGAACCAGTTATCTGAAGGATGTATTACATGCAGTCTTGCGAAGTTATTAAGTTGTCCATTTGCTAATATTTGAGCTAATACGGATTTCTTGAATAGCTGTCATTAGTGTTGGAACATCAGAAAATAAAGGAGTGCAAAAAAATAACCCCAACGAATATTCTTCAACATTGTGACTCCTCTTCAAAGATTCCTATCAAGCAGTCTGAAATATGCAGACTACAGATTTCTAGCATCTGGTGTGCTAATTGTCACAAAATATGTCTTGAAACTGTGATGTTGCAGATGCATTCAATCATCTAAATAGTACAGTGGATAACTAAAACAATGTTTCCCGCGTTAATTTGTTTATACTAAACTTATTGCAGTCCCATTGTTTCTCTCACTTTCACATTTCTCTGAGTGGAATACAGGGCAAACTTGGAGCCCTGAAGTTTCACTTATTACACTGGTGTTTTAACAGGATTGGCTTGTTTGCCTCACGTTCAACCTTCCCTCTTTTAAACCGGAAAACTAGACGAGTTCTGAGAGTGTGTCAGCTTAAAATCAAACGCTGACCACGTAGGTCTTTGGCGAACATTATTCCACTGAACCACCAACCTGTGTGTTCACATTGGCATATTTTATATTCGTTAATTCCAAATAGCATCAGAAATACTTATCAGAGAACTCTACTATGCCTACAAGGGGAAATAAGGCAGGCCCACTTTGAATATTTATTTATATCATGCAACTTTACACACTGCATCTAAACAATAGTAATAAAATAAGCCGAATACTTTCCATCGCTTGTGACGACGATAAAGTGATGATGAAGGAGGTTATAAACAGTTCACGTTCAATGCAAATATTCACAGTTAAGAGTAACAATCATCATGAATATATATTCAATTTTGACTGTATAACTTACTAGTATTCCACTCAATATTAAGAACGCACCGGAAACAAATTTCAGTATTTCCTGCAGGTAATAAAGTAGAATACAAGGTCGTGATAGTAGCGCTTTAGTTAAGAGAGAGAAGGCATTACTTTTCAATTCCTCATAAGATGAGTATACATATTTATAGATAAATATTTCCCTGAGTATGTGGAATCTCGTTTTTAAGTTTTCTCGTGAAGTCAGTGAAGAAGTCATCCTGGGTGTTATTCACTTTCTACACAAATCACTGTTTTTCATAGTCTTATTTAAATCGGATTCTATGTTTGTAAAACGTTTGAGTACCGAATACTGATCTGACTATCCATACCAACTGTTGGGTGTTTAACGACGGCCAGTAGGAATTCATCGGCATTTATTTTGAAATACCTTCAATAGCCTAGCACAAATTCAAAGTGTATCTCTTCAGATACCCTCACAGATTAGCAACTATATTGTGAAAATATGTAGTTGAATTAGGTCATCACTGACACCATAAATAATATAGAGATACTAATAACAGTGATCGTAGAGTACACTTCGACTATTCGGCTGTTTTTTTTATTCCTTCACGTTACCAGTGGAACAGAGGATGCCAAGCTAGAGGCTTGAAGTTTCTGCAGCAGTGTTTATTTTTCCAGGATGGGGTTGCTAGCCTCACACTCAACCTTTCCTCTCTAGCAGCTTTATTACTGGCTTAGCGAGTTAAAGGAGTGTGTCGGCTGGGGATCGAACCCCGGATCACGTGCATTTTTGGCGAGCGCCCTAAACATTGTGCCAACGACGCACATTCGGCTGTTGCTTCCTGGTAAATTAAATGAAATGATGATTGAAGTCATAGGTGATCAGATAAATTTCATTATGATGATGCTGAGTTTGCAATTCACATTCACAAATCAACCATTCTTTTGGCCGGTAAGGATGTCGAAATTCCATTTGTTGTAACAAATACATTAGAAGAATATTTGCATGATACTAATTAAATCAACACATCACTTACAAGAGGTTTTGATAATACCATCACCATAAATAGAATCGCACCCAACAACATCAAAACCGCTGCCGAAGTGATAATAATCAGCTTCGCCTTCCCACTAATCTTCTTGAATTTGTATCCACCTTCCACCAATGATAAACCTAGGAATATTGCGACGAGCCATGACACTATACTCCGTTTCTCAGCAAATATAGATGAAGCAGGTATTGCAAGAGACCAAACGAACACCTGTAATGAGCATAATTTACTTTTAAATAAAACAAATATCGGTGGTATATAAAGAATATTGTTGAAATTAGATAGAGACTTGCTCAAATGCAGGTCATCGATTCTTTGTAATCCATGCAACTTGGTATTAGTCTAGAGGCACTAGTGTTGCATTTTAGAGATCCAGATCGTTCAAAATCTTGCGGCAGTAAAATTGATCATTTTTTCAATGATTCTGATGGCTGGAAAATCATGGATACCTCATTACTATCTGTAACTGCAGTGCCCTCTTCACTACATCGTCGTCCATACTTTGTTTATTGAAGCGAACAACAAAAATCAAGGAATCACATTTCGTGTTGCTTGGAAAATCGTCAGCTGAAGCCTCAAGTGGAGCAAAATTCAAACTTCGTGCTAAACAGCAAGCTACCATCATCGAAATGACATCATGCGTACTCACACACATGCCAATTGTGATCGGGCGTTTCGGAATAATACATTCAATCAGTGAGACATAACAAATGCTTGAATCAACACCACTTTCCTTCCAGGGCGAATCAAGACAAGTGTGGAAGGGCGTAATAATGATGATAGTGTGAGGAAGTCGGCTAGTCTTGCTAAGGAAAATAGATCGGTTTAAATGAGGAAAGCAACAGTATTTTAAACATTGCATCGTGCGGAATCTCTATCACAAGTGCACAGGTCAACGCATAAAATAGGAAGGCCAGTGAGTGTTAATACAAATCAACGTGTGAACAATCAATCAGGACCTACATCAACGAAGGAAAACTTATCTCACTGCTGAGAAATCCAGAAAGTACATCATATCATGAAGTTATCTCTGAAGATATCTCTTGAAGCGACAACCACAGCATTCAACACACGTTCACTAGAGGATGCATACTTGTGAAGAGAAAGAGAAGACCAAGGGCCATACTTATTCATTAATAAGTATGATGTTAGTCACAAAATTATTAGTACAGATTGGGGTAATGCCCTCAGTTACTGCTGTCTTGAAGTAGTTCCTCATATTTAGATGTATAGTCGACTTGAAAACTGTGATGCACTTCATTTTCCCGCCCCGCGGCAACATTCATCAATGTTTGAGCGAGCAAAGTCATACTTGTGACGTTTTCGCAAATGACACTTTAATGAGATACACTTCAGCGGAACTACTCAAAATATAAGCTAATGGTTTTCTCAGCATTGAAATTCTTCGACTAAATAGGTATTCGGCATTTAACTGATTAACCTAGTCAAAATCGTTTCCATTGAGATGTGTCAAAATATCTGCCTTGAAACTCTCACATAACTGATTTTCTGTGTCTTGTGTGTAACAGGTCAATTTTAGTCAAACAGAGTGTCAAACTCACAGTCAATAGAAAGAGGCCGTAAATCACTATTGTCTTCTTTCCAAGTTTCTTAACAAAGAGTGCCAACAATATAGGGATTAGACCCAGTATCCTGAAATGAGAGAGTAGAGTGAATTACCAGGTAAACGTTGAAAACTCCTTCATCCGAATTTCATTTGTAAATTAGACGTAATTAAAAAACAAGGCAATAATAACTTCTCTTATAATTTCATATAATAACACATTTGTTTAGCAGTAGGTCTATCTCAGGTAATATCCAGGGAAATCACATTCCAGGAAACTTACATAAAGATGACTGGCATGTATATTTGTTGAAGTTGGGTCGGAAGACTTCCTCTACATGGATGCACAGACAATGAATCATTATATGTACTTACATGTAATATACCGTCAGTGTGATTACGAACGTCATCCCGATCATCATACTCGCTAAAATCACATACTTGATTTCAGTGTAACCTTTTCAAATTTATAAATATTCCTACCGTTTTCACACAGCTTAGAGTAAAATTTGCACGTGTAATTCCATTCTGCAAATGTCAGCTAAGAAATGCATTAACGAACCTTGGATGTTCCCTTCATAGTCACTTCTCCGAGAAAAGAAGACGAAATGAAATTTCGAATCACATTCCAGTCAATTATTCAAATGAATAACTATTCACAGTCAACTTACGTACAAACTTCTTATTCAGAACTGATGATGAATAAGTTTCCTTCATCTGTGTCTGACAGAGTTGTATTTGCTGTAAAGGAGGAAAATATTACGGTTTCATTGATTGTGTGAGACAATCGGAATCATGTAATTTGCAAAGGTGTAACTAACAGTCGCCAGATACATGAAATATGGGGAAACTCGATAAAGTATTCAACCTTTCTGACTATTTCAACATTCATGTCGAAATAGAACAGCAGCAGTTGAAGAGACGGATCTGGTTAAACTGTAACTGTCTAAGATGTACTGTATTATGTTTTTGAATTTGATTGTGAAATAGCTCAGAGTGTTTATACTGACTGAAGTCATTAGTGTGTGATAAGCGTCTATGTTTAATGGCATTGTAATAAATGAATACTGGCGAAAATATTAACGCTTACGTGACTTGAGATTATTGTGTTGAGAGTATAGTTCTAAATTTCTGTATTTATATGCTTCACTGTAAATTAATGAAGTATGCGTAGGTATTTCAATAGTTTTATAGTTGTGACTCAGTCAAACAGTAGACCAGAGGTCAACTAATGAGAAACGGTTAACGAAAAATACAGTTATCTGAATATAAGACAACCTATGGACTTAACGAGTGGATCTTAACTAAATCTTGTTTTGCACCACTTAAACGTGATCCATAAATAGTGAATATTTCATATAATTGAGTAAATTTTCATATTAATTTTTTTATTAGATGTATCACACAATGAAACAGTATTATTTACTGGATGACAAAGTTTCAAACACAATTTATTCTTCACAATCATATCAATTGTAACCACACGACTTTGAAACTTGAGTTTTATAGTTTTCTTTGTCTTCTCCTATTTGTCATAGGGGTAGTAAAATTTCGCAGATACAGTTGATTTTTGAAATTCACTTTCTTATGAATTATCTAAATATATTTAGCCATAATATTAAATCCCCTAAAAAGCCACTCGAAATCTAGACTAACGAATTCTTATGAACTAAAACACAGATTAGATAATTTAAAATTAGGTAATGAAGACAAAATGGTTAGTTTTGACATTGTCTCTTTATATACTCGTTCACCAATAAACATAGCTATAGAAGCAGTCGGAAACGAACTCATTTCTGACCAAGAACTCAAACTTAGGACAAACGTGCCACTTGAGGGTATAATGCTGGGAGTGCAGCTACGCCTGACTACCACAGTATTTAAATTACAAGGGAAAATATACAAACGAAATGAGGGAGTTGCCATGGGATCACCAATATCCCCGGTTGTAGCAGATATATTCATGGATAGGTGGGAAAGAATAGCGATTGAAATGTTCAGCCCCACCCCCAAAAGTGTGGTGGAGGTATGTAGATGACACATTCACTGTACTTAGAATACAGGATATAGATAGATTTTTCGAAAACATTAACTCAAAGGTGGAGGAAATTTAATTCACTTATGATTTGGAAAGTCAGGAAGAGGAGCTTCGAATGTTAGATTGCAACGTAAAAAGGAAAGAAGGTGGAAAGTTAAACAGTAGGGTTTACAGGAAACCCACACATTCAAACAGATATCTTGACTTCCGGTAATCCCACCCTATATCAGTAAACAATAGGATTGGTGAAATGTTTAAGTGACAGAGAACAAAAACTAAGCAGTACCAAGGAAAATCTAAGACAGGAAGTGATACACATAAAAAAGCCTTGAAACTTAATAATTACCCTGATGAATTAGTCAGGGAATATGTAAGTAAATGTAAAATTAAAATAAATAATGATAGTAGTGATAGTGATAACCATAATAACAATATTAATGACGACATGCATGTCAAACATGCGCAACACAACACCAACAATAAGGGATCTAAATCATCAGTAATAATTCCATATAAGGAAGGAACTCCGGAAACTTGCTCAGAATTTTCAACAAGGCAGGAATAAAAGTGCCATTCAAACTGACCACAAACTCAATTAGAAACAAGCTTTGTCGGTTAAATGTGGATCCTGTTGAGCCTTTAAAACAAAACAATTTAGTTTATCTGATACCCTGTCTGTGATGATTGACAGGTTAAATACATAGATCAGAGTAGTAAAACAGGGACAGTCAGACTAGCCGAACATAAACACCTAGCAAAACCTAGATTGGTTGACCCAAATAAGATAGGAAATCTAAAGAATAGTTCAGCTATATCATTCACTGCATGCAATTATACACACCTATGCAACAGGATGGATGGGATAGGATGGCAGTTTTAAAATCTAATGTCACATGGTGGAGGGAGCGAGAGATTGATAACAGAAGCTTTGTCTATCGAATCAACTGCAAATATATGTAGTAGGAGTGATTCAACACCTGTCCACTCGGACATCTGAAAAAGTCTGCTACCCTAACGATGACAAATAGCGTGGTAGTGTTCGCCTGTAATCTAGCTACTTCGAGGTCAGGCTGCAGAATTTCGCATTTTGTGCGTCGGTGGCACACTGGTTAGGACGCTTGCCGACCATGTATATGGTCCGGAGTTCGATCCACAGCCGACGCACTCCTTTACCTCTCTAGCAACCCCGTCCTGTAAAAATAAACACTGCTACAGAAACTTCAAGCCACTAGCTTGAGGTCCTATATTCCACCAGGAACGTGAAGGAAAAAAATCATAGGCAGAAATACTAATGAACCCCCTATCTCGATAGATGAGTCAAACCTTCACTGTGGCTGAACTTCAACTAACTTTCTCTACAAAACTGATGATTCGCATGATAGTGAAATATAAGTTATCACTGCTGGCCTTATCAATGTGTATTTATCAGTTTACCTGCTTCCGTGGAACTAGTTATTTAGTCTATACTAAACGTTATTATTTGTACCTGCGACCCCACGGTATCAAGGGTTTTCAGAATACGCCTTAACCGACAGATCACGTATCTGTTTGCATTATTCGGAAACTGTGTTCCACTTATTTCAAGAGTGGTCTATCGTGTTATCGTTTCATTCCCTTAATTTTAACTGCCTTTATTGTTAATACACGTTTTATTTGATGACTATCTGCAGTAAATGTTTTGAATTGTAGTGGATACAGAAAGTTTAACATTGTGTGATAATCCCAATCACCTAGTCAGTCTAGTCCTAGGATTTTTAGTTCAGTGAATGACGTCAACCGTCAAATCTCAAAATAACCGTTTATCCAGAAAGCCATATATGACAGCTAACGCATATATGTGCCCAGGGAATTGTGATGTCATCAAAACCAAACTTATAATTCTGCCGTACTTATTCCTCAGTAAGGAGAAACGGTTAACAAAAAGAGGAGTTCATGCATCACTTTACGGTAATTCGCCGAAAACAGACTGTTTGCTGAACTATGTGTTTTGCTTTTTATTTAAGTCAGGATAGCGACTGTTCAAGAACTGCTGGTAAATAAAATCAATATTTCTTATCAGTATACTGACAGGAAGCTACCCATTTCATACTATTCGTTTAAATTCATATTTTCAGAATAACCAATATATGAAGAGTGATGCAACCGACAATGTACTTCATGTATTGCACAAACGAAATATCGTCAGTATTTAATTAGGAGAAGCCAGATTTCTCAAAGTAGCAGGAAATTGATGTGTGTGGAGAGAAATGGGATACTTCTAGTCCCAAATGAAAATTCAAACTATACACCATTGCAAACCTAACTATCCACAGTGTGTTATTACATTCATGATGTGAAGCTTGCACATATTTTTGTGTGGAGACGCTAATCGTCATTAAGCAGATAAGGAAGGCAAGAACAAATTTTGAGGGATCTGGTGTGAACCGATTAATCATCCATCATCTCCTGACACTCGTACAAATAAACATGATTCATGATATCAAATAATTAGAGGTAATCGGCAGGAAGCCTTGGACCTAGATATCGTGCTAGTTGGCACTCTTCAGCAAGGTGTATCTTCAGCCTTGAAGGAACTCATGTCCCTTCTGAGATTCGAACCCACTTCCCACTACAGCCATACAGGAGGTCAATCGCTAGCCTGAATTGCTCAGTGGTAATGTCTCTGACTACAGCATTGGGTGAAGCCAGTTCGAATCTCAGAGGGGATGTGAGTTCCTTCAAGGTTCCAGATACGCTTTGCTGACCAGAGAGTGCCAACTAACACAAAACCTAAGATCAGCAAGGCTTCCTGCCGATTGCCTCCAGCTGTCTAATATCATCAAATCAATGTGCACCGTGATGGCAGGCTACCTAGAACGGTGGCCACATTGCAAACCTGACTGGTAGGATTCTTTCTGCACCAAAGAAAGGACTAGACACATCACACTACTTACTAGTGTACAATCAAACATGATATATAATGTGGATAATAAAATAAGTTTCAGTCTGAAAACAGAATTTTTCCATCTCCATGAGTATGAACGTATCCATATTGTATTGTAATAAAATGCTCGCTTCATTCAAGGACCTCATAATAGCAAGTCTCCATGCCTCAACCATTATTGCAATATTTACAGATTCGTTGTCTGCCTTTAGGCTACTGGCGCTAAGCCTTATTCCGTAGTCAATATAGGTTGATGACTGTGAGGAAGGTTTTTGTAATAATTTTCATCTTTCATATGTATCTGCTACCATGTACATTTGATCGTTTGTGATAATGTCTGCAATTTATTTGTTTGACAAGGTTTCGGTAAACACGCTTTCTGAAACGCAACATCGACACACTGGTATATTACAGACAATATAAACTGATATCCGCTTAACGTATGTGTGCTTACACTATTCCTGTGCTAGTGAGACTTAGATACACATCTCGTTTAATATTTCCGTTTTAGATAAACAAATTAAATTAGTCATCATTAGTCCTATGATTGAGGGAGGTTGTTAGCTTATTACAGTCATTTGAAGCAAACCTCAAATATCTGACGCTCTTGGATAGTTGATTCCTGAATAGCATCTTTTAATCGCAATTCAAGAGTATCACAGTGCAAAGTGTGACATGGAATGTTTCTCTCATGAACCCATAGTAGAAGGAAGGCGCTATTACATTTGCATCAGAACAGAAGTAAACAGTCTATCTGCAGTAGACTCCAATAAAAACACGACTTAACCCGGGATAATGAACTCCACAGTAAGTTACAAATGCTGTATGACAATCAAAACTTGTTTGTATCCACTAAAACTGCTAAAAGCTCAGATTCGCAGTAATCATGATTTAAATTTAGTGGAAATGGATACACCAAGCATACTGTAGAATGTCCTCCAATTTTCTGAAAACGTGCTCATAATAATAAAAATTCAGCCACAGCTAGTTAAACTAATAAATTAAGAATTTAAATGATAACTTATGCATCCATGTAAATTGTACTACACACGGAGTTTAAAGAACTGAGACGGCGAATTCCACTACTTCTGAATGGAATAACAAGAGCAATAATATCCGAATCCTGCAGATTTACAGTTTACTCTGAAATGATTAATGCAGAACGATCACATAACAACTGGGGAAATTATGCAATTATCAGATGCTTCTGTGCTGAGTAAGTATATAGTGAGAGCTAGCTGCAAGCCAAAAAATGGAGACGGCAATTCGCGTCAACGTTCACGTCCCGAATCGTAGTCATGGCAAAAACAGTAACAAAGCTTTATTTTGAGGAACTCACCAACCAACCACAACAGACTTAGCGTGTAAGAATACGATTCGCAGACATATGGCTTAACTTTCTAATAAATGGTCACAAGCAGTACAGAGT